GAAGAAGGCGATACTGCCGAAACGTCAGCTAGCGTTGTATTGTATTGTGTTTTTATGGAAGTAAATGTATGCTGTTTAAAAACCTCGCGATTGCTGAACAAGAAAACGACACATTCATATTCCAATGCCGGGGTTAAGAGAAAGTCGATCCTGGGAACTATTGCAACTATTTGAGTTATCCATAAATAAGATTTGATGTCAACAACAGTCGTAAACAATCGCTTCTAAAACCAAGGTTTTGCAAGAGAAAATTTAGAGGGCAAACCCACATCTGCAGAGTTTTAAAAAATCACAAACGAGTTTGAAAAGACGAACTGTACTACGATTTACTAGAATGAGACGTTCTTCTGCCGTTGAATTTATGGTCAAATCCCGAAGTAAATCCTGCCTATGCCGTTTCTGAAACCTCCTTTCCGAAGCACAATTTTTTTCTTCAGAGGATGGTCAAATTCTATCCGAAAACCTTTGTAAGACAACTCTATCACTTTTTTGATGTTTTCATTCAGCGATTCATCCAGGGGTTCACATATTGAACGTTTTTTTAACCACTTACTACAACTAATGCTGTGTTGTAATGTTGTTTTTGGAAAAACCACTTATGGTGGTCGCCGCTCTAGACGGCTTCACTGCTTCCACTGATCTAATCGGATCCTCTTATAAAGTTAGGATTGCCAATGTTAGAACTTCTCATGATCACTTACCAAATCACTAACATTTTTGCATACACCGAAACAATGAAACGACCCTGAGATATTTTTTTGTAAAATGATGCGACTGGACGACAAATCACAAGCTACCTGAGTCCAACAGGTGAACACAGGTAACTCCGACAACTAATTTTCACTTCACTTTACCCGTTAGTGATTCACTCAGCGTGGTGCTAAAATGAACACCACAAATGATTTCTTTTTTGTGACGACAACTTGCGAAGGAAAAGGACTACGTGAATTCCAACGATGTATGAAGTTTAAATTAGTCTCTAAGGTCGGGAAGCCCACATCGGCATTGAATCTAGTTAGGCTGAGCCTGTAGAAATCACAATCGCATGGTGTGGTGGTGAACGCATTGGCCTCCGGAAAGTTTAATAGCGCGTTCGTTCCCCACTGCAGACACCTGCGGTCCAGAGTTTTGCAAATATCTCAGCAACGTTGTGGATCTATATGATTCTTTTTCGGGTCGACACAAAAATCCATAGCGTTATCAGGGTTTCGGAAATCAGATAAACGAATCTCACTGGAATATGTGGTGTTGTTTCATATATTGCATCAACCAGACCATTTTAATCTTTCCTATTTTAAGTCCCGAGACGCCATACGGTACGTTTTGGAGAAGGGTGATAGTTGTTTTACCGAATACATTGGCAGAAACGGTGGCCATCAGGATATCATCATCGGCAGTGAATGTGCTGAGGTTAGTTGATGTTCTTCAATCACACTATCTATGTTCTACACGATTTCTAACCGATTTGCTTCTATATAAGCCGACCAGTAACAAACAGATTTCCTGTCTTGTCCTGCGATATCGAAGCCATTTATTGTCACTCGATGGTGATGTTCTTTTACAAGCCTTACAGAATTTTTACACGAGCTTAATATAAACGATTCCAAATCTTGTTTTCAATTCCTGGTTGACTAAATAAAAAGAGAGTGATAGAAATAGGAAAAATCTCCCAAAGAATCGTGATGTGGTGTAGTACTGTAGAATCCATTTTCAGGACCGCTGACAGTTTTCGATTGGTTCCATTTATTGACAAGTGTAGGGGTTTTCGGAGTCGTTCTCTCATGACCTTAAATATGTGGGCAGCTGAAATCGTGAAAAACCTCTACGGAATTAATCGTCTGAATTCACTTTTTTGAACCTTTGAATTTCGCACATTCTCTTTCAATCCCACTCTCCGTCTCCGTCCCTTCGTCTCTCTGTTTCTCTCATTCTCTCCACCTCGTCCGCCCCTCCCTCTCTGGCATTTGAATCTTTAAGCTTTGCAGGATCTCTCCCGTTCCTTCGATCTGTCTACCTCTAACTCTATAATGTTGTCTCGTTTTCCCTTTCCCTACTTCTCTGCATCTCTGGCTCTCTCTTTCGTTCCTTTCCTCTCCAAATCTCCATTACTGTCTCCGTTTCCGTTCGCTGCTAACTGGTTTCGTAGCACACTCGACGATCTCATCTCACTGACCTTCAAACGAACATCCCAAAACTGGACAACATTTAAACATTTTCATTCGCTGCACGATGAAGCTGTGATAGAATACCAGTTATATTCTATTATATTTTTAAAAATCAATGATTACTGTAATAAATCGTTCTAATACCTACATACCTGAGCATTTAAGTCTCCATTTAACTTGGATGCGTATTTTTCTAATTCAGCGATCCTGTTAGGACAATAGTTTGAAAAAACGAGAGCTTTCGAAGAATAAAAGATAAAAAAGCTCTAGGCGTTGATCGATCCATGAGGGATGTGCCATGCATTCGACTTCATTAAGCATCGTTTGGAGGTGTTCGAATGCATATCTGGCCTTTACAATGACTCGCGGTGGCCTACTAATATATCTGGCCAGTGCTGCTATCCTCCCAGACAAGTCTGGCACCAATTTGTCGACCCCGGAGGGAAGGAAGGCTTGGTGGACCATGGGCGCGGGGATCGATTCAACGTTTGTGTTGCCAGTTTTCAAAGAATACTCTAGAAAAATGCTGTAGGAAACAGCAAAAGTTTTTGATAACCACCTGGCATTGGATTTCAGTGGAATTGCTGATGTAATATCAAACTATCAGACTGAACACGTCAATCGATTAGTGGTAGTGATAGTTTATCATCATCGTTACTACACACTTTGTGCTGTAAGCCAAACGTTATTCTTTACAAAAAATAGAAAGAAACGAATTAAGAAGCACTTTAAATTTAACATTATACACCAATTTGGAATCAAAAGAAAAAGAAAGACTCTAAACGCAACCAAGGAAAAAACAAAATTCGGCGAAGAGACACTTCCAGCTGGCGAACAACATAAACTAAGATCCCGTTTATAAAAAGTCAAATTGCAAAACAAGAAGTTTATCGTAAAGCTCAATAATCCACAAACAATCTTCGAAAACTTTCCGATCAACATAAAGAAATATTTTGACCATAAATAGTAAAGACAACCTCCTATATGAGCTGAAAAATGAGATCGTAGAAGGTGACCAGCAAAATCTCCATTTCACCGGTAATTAGTTGCTCAAGAAAGTTTCTCTTTCCATGAAATCTCAAGGTAGCGCTGCTTGCACTTTTCGAAACCATCTTCACCACAGACGGTAGCTGGTCCCCAGCGGATAATCGGAGGACTATTAGGCACCCTGCGCGTAAATCCTTTCGTTGAAGAGCGTTGACAATCCAAGAAGTTGCTTAGTTTTTCTTTCAGTCTTTCTTTTTTTACATGTTAGCTAATGTCTCAGGTAGTGTCAAACTTCTCCGTTTGGGAGGCCCTGCTTCGGTATGAATCTCCTTCCGCACACCAAGAGCACCACCTGAATGAGGTGGTAGATCATTGGAACGGACGAGTGTGACTGCAATAAATAGGAGTTTTTGAAATATATTTTATATGTGTATAGGCGTTTACCTGCTTCAGTGTTATAAAATTCGTCTAAGTTTTGGTTAAGCAGTTTTAGACTAAACCTGAACTTTAAAATCAAGTTTAAGTTCGGTTTAAAACTGTTTAAAAGCGGTGAGAACAAAAAGTTAATGCAAAAACGACAGTTTTCGAAAATTTTTCTCAATTTCCCTCACTGTACAATAGAACAAAGACACGATGTTGATCATCCTTCGACTACGCCTGATAACAGAATATTTCCTAACTTCCTAGTCCCTTATCAGCCAAAATTCCTTCACTATCTATAGTTTGAACGACTTCCAAAAAAATTCTGCAAAAAGTTGTTCTCCGTCTATTTAGCCGCATATGCTTGTTTTCTATTCAAATGGATGCGTGTGACGCAGTGGTTAGGAGTTTCCACCAATACAGGCATGGTCCCTGGTTCGATTATGCGCCCGGACTAAACCAAGTGCCCAGTTTTGAGAATAGGTGGCAAATTAGTAGAAGGATTCGACTAGAACATCATTAGTGTAAAACACTTCAAACATCACTGGACCGTTACAGATTAGGTATAGGCCAAATATGAATCTAGTCACTTCTATGACGCTCGAAGAAGTGGGATTTGTGGCGGATCCCTGAGGATTGATTAACGCTGCACACTTTACCTTTAACGTTTCATCTACAAAATACGGCCACATTCGTAGCATATGTCATTATCAACGCCAAGTTCACCTAGTAAACACCAATGTTCACGAATATCGCTGTTTGGGAGCAAATAACCTAGATATTCGTTCGAAAGTCTCCTAATGGTCGTTCACTTCTCACTAACTGCGGGCGACATGGGAACTCCCTCTCACAGCTATCCAGGTGTTCCAGTGGAAGAATAACTGCTCACGCAACAACATATAAGTGAGATAGGGATTATGCTAAGATTGGTGTTATTTGTCAGAACTTGCTATCTAGGAAGTTGATTAAGTCGCTGTACTTAATGCAATTTTTAGTGAAGTGTTGACCATCTAGTCCTGAGAGCTATGGATATTTGTTAATCTCTTTTAAATGTAAGAGTGAGAAGCACTAATAATTTTGTTATATTCTAATGGCTATATATCTTAAGAAAAATACCTAAAGATACTGCTTTAAATTTTCCTCAGTCACCCTTCAATGAATTATATTTTGCACCGAAGTTAGAAAAAATCGCTTTGGAAATGCATAAGGATGAAGCTGTGAAGAGAAGACAGGATAAATCGAGAAGGTGTGTCAGGTGTCAGCTTAATAAATTTTCTTAATGAATGAACCACTGCATTTTGTAGACTTGGAAAAATATTTTCTTCAGGAGGATTTTGCTATTTCTCACACTTTTGCATATGCTTACCAAGAATCAGAGCATTCTCTTGTTTCGTTTTGCTTTCCGCTTTTTATACTCGGCTTTAGTTGATAGAACGAATAGAGCCTCAGATTCACAATTTGTGAGTACCCCCGGTAAATTCCTTGTACAGATGAGCGTTTTCTTCTTCCTCTTCTTCGTCTTTATCATCATTCTCTTCTTGTTCTTATTATTCGCTTCCTTCCTGCTCCCCTCTTTTTGTTGTTCTTCTCCGTGTCATTTCTTGTGTTCCTCTTCTTTCAGTTCTTTTTCTTGCTCTTCCTGTTTCTGCTCCACATCCTTTCCACTTAGCTCTGCAGTGTGATATTTTAGGAGTACGTGGTGGCACACGAAACGGGTCACGCGCTCGGTTTTTGGCATACACACCAACGACCGGACAGGTTCGACGCTGCCATTGGGCAGTTTTCGAATTTTCCAACATCATTTTTGCCTCTGTTTTTCCATTTTCCATTTCTTTGTTTTACGGTCGCGTATGTCGTTCTGTTTAGAGATCGGCACATTTCCATTAACTGGAAGAATGTTATGGAAGAAGCGACAGCATCATTCATGCCGTTTCGTAGCATGTTACAAGCATTTGGAATTCGCCAGGTTTCCTCTTTTTGTTCTCTCTAGGTCCATCGTATCTAATATGATTATCGATTTGATGGACATCGCTAATGATGTGAAATGGGTGGAACAGTTAGAAAAAAATTGACTGAAACGGCTTCAGAAATAAAGAATAACCTCATAGACCACAGGGAGGTAAAGAATCGATGGACTGACTTGAACTCAAATTGAATTCACTATAGACCATTTTGATACGATTTCATTACAGTTGAAGAACGTTTGTCCACATTTTAGTACCTGTATCATAAACAAGCTAAAGAAAAAACGTTTAATTACCCGATTTTTCCCTAATTTCTTTGATCATCGAGTAGAAGACTTACTTATAAAGTTTTCATTCGTACCCGTCTCTCATTAGAGCCCTTTCCTCAAGAACACAAGGAGCAGCACATTTTTGGAATGTTTGCAGTCATGCTTTCTTCGCTGTTTTGAAAAGAATACTGCCTAAGGCTTTCACTAGTCATCACCACAAGAAGTCTTAGAGCGTTGTGGAAGATCAGAGATACATTTGCCTTCTTGGAACTCGATTATCTCCAGCATCCTAGTGCTTCCTGGTATGGATCTCTATTTATCTGGGCTTTTGGATGGAAATGTCGAACTCAATCTACATATGGAGATCCTATTGGGAAACCTATTGCCCTGTTGTACATGCAGTTCGCCATAGATGGAAATTCCGGCCCCTCTTATGTTGATGAGGGCAGAAGCACAATGAAATAAGCGCGATAAAAGCTCGATAAAAATACAATAAAATAGGCCAGATGCATAAAAGGGAACATTATAAAATAACACGTGCAGCATCTATTTAACAGCTGGTGATTGCGGCATATTGGCGCTTTTCGGGCTATTCACTATATTCTTTGAGCAATAAATGAATACGAACGAATTTTGTGCTTATCACACAATAACGGCATTCGGAAGCCATTTGAGTGCAAGAATTTTTGACATATTCATACTTTTATTGACGATTTTCCTAACAATCGTACAGCATCGCCATGTGGAATGAATTCACTCTGAGTTTTAATTGATGTGTGATCGAATGCTTAGAACAGCGAACGTATAAATGTAGTTTTTTGCCCTCTTTGGTGCACATTTTTTCCTTCGTTTACTTATTTTAATAATTGAGTGGATCGTAACCACCATATCTTGAAAAATAATTAAATGCTTAGATGTCCCGCCTTCATATGTCGTGCCGCTTCCAGCACTTCTTCCATTCGTTTCTATGTCTTGCAGCCATCATCCATGAAGATTATACGATGACGTTTCTGTATGAGTTCGTCCGCGACTTCAAGATTCGTCCACTGCTCCATTTACATGCTGAATGTTGGCGAAACTCTATTTGCATTGAGATTCTGAGATAACCATGCTAGGGTGTTCCGAGATACTCAGCTCGGCTAGTTGGCGTGCTGCCGTTATAGAACGGGAGAGCTTTATTAGCCTTGCAGATAGGATTGCTCTAGGACATCAGCGATTCCTATAATTAGTCGACAGTTATACAAAGATGATGAACAGGGGGAATCTCAAAGCAGCGACTACATCAAATACAGTCCCATAATTTGAACTACTAAGCTTGGAATCGAAGGATTTTCTATTCTAAAAAATGGTCCTTAACTATTAGAGTGATGTAGTGAAATTTCCGATGCAATTTCCTGCAAGTTCTCTTAGAGCTTTCGAAAGCGTTTGAATGTTTGAGTGAGAGTTGTCCTGTCTTAGAATTGGCACACATTATATGACTGAACGGAAAACGCAAGAAACATATAAAACGTTAACACATAAGGGACCATATACGCTTATTTCACTACATACTTTTTCCGACTATTTGGTTTGCCGCAAGGAGTTTATTTGCTATAATTCTTTGCTTTTCGTAGTCATTCGCTAATTCATGCGCTCTATTTGGTGTTTATTGTAATCAGTCGATAACATATCTACTCCATATATTGCACCAGACGGCGTGAAGTGTTATTCTGTAGACTTCATAGTTTACACTAAACCCTTCTTCTTTGAACAAAATTAAACGTAGTCGCGTGTGCCTTAATGACTTCAAAATTTGAATAGCCCACATTCCGTGTAAATCTTCCTACCCCCAGTGCTATTTTCATTTTGCTTCCATAACAAATAAAGTCAGTAGTTGACACGATTTCTATTCGCTCTCTGCAGCTTGGACATAGCCGTGAAAAGACTTTCCTGAGTCAATACCAGATCACCACCAATACCACCTGAGTCAACCAATGGTGAGCCGCTATTATAGAAACGAGAGTTGTCGTTTCGAGACAAGGTTACCTCAAGGACAATGACGATTCCTGACGTTGGTTTATTCCTAATTGGTCTGCCGGATGAGAATACAGAACTTCTTCTCGACTTGGACAACCCTCCTATGCGGGATGATCCCCTCTACTTCCCTTTCGCCGTTTTAAATACATCGATATTTGACACTCGGGAACCCCGCAATCACGATAGCATGGATAATCATTGAGGGAATAGAGAATGTCCAATACTTAGAACAGGAAAATGCTGAGCTACTTATTACTAAACATCTCGAATATTCGGTTATAGACTCGATTGTTTGAGTTATCTTTTCTATGCTCGAAAAGTGGAATAAGTGTAATGCAATACTCACTGGTGTTTTCTTAGTCTTTCTTTTTCCTCAACGTCTTTTTTTCTAACTCCTGAATGATTGCATTGTTTATTCGTGTCTCCGTAAATCCCTGTGAAATGCGAACATAATTTTTATCCCCATAAATCCATTCAAATATGATTTCTACTTGATATTAGTACGAAGCAGGTCGCAACTGCTTGCAGGTCTCACCGCGAAGAGTGCCGTACGACTATGGCTCGCTAATGCACTACCATGCTGTCGCTCACGCAATTAAGGTTTGATCTTCCTTTTCCGTGTGACAATCGATAAAGTCATGAAGTTAAGGTTACGGTCGGAGTTTTTATAGACCAGTACAAGTCATACATTTTTAAAAAATAGCATATTTTACTTATTTTTCATCAGAAAGATTGCAACTTCTTTTGGCGTTTCCTCTTCTTTTGACCTTTTTCTGTTTTCTCTATCCATCGACTCACCAGTCCCATATAAATAAATGACTACTTGACTCTTTGATAATTTTTGAATTCATTCAGCTGTTATTTGTTCGCCTACTCGATTTTTTCAACTGAATTAGTTTTTGCTTCGATAGGAGATCGTTTTCTTGCCAGTCGACAATCAACGCTTTAAAAAAGTGACAAAGTGATAATGGCTGATAATAGCTCCAAACCTGCAAAGAACAGCTCGAAACTCGTGACAGAGAAAGTAAAACCATGACGAAGGCACAATTTGCGTTAATATTTAATAAATTTAAGATTATCTGGAATAGAAAACGTTCCAGGTGTCCGATTTCACAATCGTACCAAAAGAATTGAAATACGTGACAACAATGGGAACCGAGAAAATGGCGTTTTTGGATGCAAAAGTAATAAACGACATCTACTGCCCGAGTACGGTATCATTTGCTTATTGGAGCTTTGATTCTACCGCTGCGCCATTATTGATTACATTTGATCTCCTAAAGCATGTACCGTTTTGAAGAACGATTTGGTTGAAACTAGATAAATGCTGAACTAAGGTTTTTGCACATGAAATATTGAGGCTCTTTCGGATTGCCGAACTGATTGAACTATTTTTGTGTTACTGATAGTCAAGCCTTCTCAACGGTTTGCCGCCTAATCGTGGCTAGAAGGTGTTCCTGGATGTCGAACTGCGACGTACAACAAAGGAGTTCATCCTCGGTAGGGCCTCCCAAGTTGGGAAGGAGTCCGGCGTTTCCATCTGGAAGCATAGCTAAGAGTAAACCAATACTAGGGTCCACCACCGTCCTAGAATCGAACTAGTCGCATGGTGGCAAATTTTCCTCTGATCCACAATGGTGGCGACTGCTTGTGGTGGCGTCGACCTTGGGCAGATTTTTGTCTGGCTGACCTCAAGACTGCAACGACCCACAATGGCTAAGCTAGCAAAACTCCGAAAAAACGAAGACTATGATGGGGCCTGCACAGCTATGAAGGACGAGCCATCCAAGTATCCAAGTAGGTAAGTAAGATAGACAAACTGGAATTGCAGTATGTGCGAATGCCAAATATTTCAACTGTTGTTGCCCAAAAACTTGTCGCAGAATGTCCCACAACTTATGCTGAGAGTACTATTTAGTGGATATAAAAGACCAATGCTCTTAAATAGTAACCAGAAGACGCGCTATAGTATCAATATTCCTTTTTCCCTAAATTAGGTCGGGGGAAGCTTAATCCGAGTTTTGAAAGTTAAATGATACGTATTTCAGTGTTTTTTCTCCTAAATAGTCAAAGATTGCATGAAAAAAATAAGGAAAAAATGCTGAAAGACAAATTCGAAAGTGTTTCGATGTGGGGTGTTTGCTTCTCATCACGGCAAACCACTATTCATATACATGGAAATTATTTAGTGCTAAGTACAGTGTTTTTTGAAATGCTGACAGCTCAGATGCCTGTGTGGGACGATCGAACCTACATTGTCTAGCTGGCGGTTATCCGGATCCAAATAACTGCGCCGTTTGCCGTTGTCCTGAAGGGTTGGGTGGCGTTGACTGCAGTCGATTGCAACCCAGTGGTTAGTTGAGTTTATTCCAGAAACATCTCTCTACATGTGAGTGTGATAGACAAAAAATCAACAGTTTATCTCTTCTAGGCGATTTTTCGTCTTTTTTTGCCTCATTGACTGAGCTATGCTCCCAGCGTTACCTAGTGTTTCTCATACGTCTTCTGTACCTCTTTTCTCCTCGAATTTCAATTTACGTGAAAGAAAACCAAGTACACCTCCAAGTAGTGTAAGCATTATTTTTAGCCAATGAATTTAAAGAAGCTATTTTTTTTAATATAACCTCCTTTCTCACTAGAAAACCAAAACTGTTGTTTTTGTGATTTATATTTACAAAAGAAAAGCACTGAGCAGCGAACAAAGCGGCGTGCCAACTCGTGATTGGTCGACGCCTAGGCTGGAATCTAATATCCAACAAATGGACATAGCGGTCTAAAAGTTAGAAATGTATTAGTGTATGGATTTACATGCCATTCAAAATGGAATGCTCCTAACGGTGCAGAACTCCGCTGATCAACGTACACGATTAAAAAAAATGCCAAGTTAACCCACATATTTCTTCCCACTCGGACGCTCTCACCACCTTTCCAATTCGAATCTCGCATCCGCCATCCACGAAGGCCTTCGAACTTTTCACGGGTTAGTTCGACTGTTGCTTGAGGATTTTCCTTTCATGATGAATGTCGTTGAATGCTGGACAATTCGATTGCTCGTTGAGTCTTGAGGTAGTCGGACTAGAGCATTCCCACTTGTATTACAGAGTGCAAACTTTTCTCAGACAAGTCCAGTACCAATTTATTTGCCGACCCCGGAGGGATGAGAGGCATCGTGAGCCCGGAACTGCGTCAAACCACTACCATGCTCATGATGATCGGCATCACTACTACTGTGATACAGATCTAATCAACATGTTGTATTAAGGTCAAAACGAGGACTTTCTTTTACACTTTGCGTCGCATGACTTTAATTTAAAAGTTAAGATTTAACGTCCATATAATTTAGTAGATTTATTCATTTCTATAAAACAGGATTTGGTTATTTCATGAAAGCACTTATTGATTTCATTCTCGCAAAAATGTTGTTACATATGAAATATCAGTGCAAGTGTCATCTGGAGGGCACCGAAATTTCACTTTTTTGTGGAGCACTAAACATGTGTGAACTTGAGCGAAAGGTCATTTAATATCGCTTTCGTTTAAAGTGCTCTATCATTGCATGTCGATCTTATGATCACGAAGAGCAACGGTGTGGGGTTCGTGAAGTGTAGTGTTTCGAGGCTTTCTGCAAAACAAACATGGTCTTTGATTCGACTCCTAGCGCTTATCCGTCCGTAGTAGGCAAATTGGTACCGGACCTAAAAGCTTTTACAAGGCTTTAAGTTTCTATAAAAGCTACCTGAGATATCTGCAAGAAACTCCCCGCCCACCACAAAGGCTAGAGACTTATTGAGATGAAGCAGGATAAAATAGAAAGCAAAGTAGTGCAAAATTCTCAATCAAAACAGCGAAATCCACAAATCCGAAGAATTTCGTGGATTACCGATTCAAGAGAACAAGTGTTCGAAAAACACATCAGGATGCATACGATATTGCAAGTAGGGTCATGTTAAAGAAAAACTAGAAGTAACAAGAAGATACACCAAAAAAGGGCTTGTAATAAGTTTTTGAAAGTTCTTTTTAATCTATCCACGCAGTGAATAGTCCTCTCCAGTTGGAATCCTTATTTTGATGATAAAGAGATACTGATGTTTTAGTTTGTGGTGGTGAACTTCATGCGACCGACACATGGCAAACTCTTACCAGCCCACCAGGGAAAGATATCGTATGTTATTGGCGGATATCGGTGAGTGACAAGGGTTTGCCTATAATTTTTCATAGTATTGATAAGCTTAAACGAGGCTGTTATAAGTTTCTAGGGGGTTCATAGTCATACCGATTCGAATCGAGTGAAATGGAACACTGTACAAATGATGTGGTGTTATTTAGTGCTGCTGTTTAATACACGACCATTTTTGATCCATTATCGTCCAGTAGGAGGCAGGTAGCATTGTATTAGCGATGTCGTCCATTATGAGCATAAGGATAGTTCTACTCCGTTACGGATTCAGAACTCCTCCAATCACTACCAAATTGGTAAATCCGTACCAGACCTGTCTGCGCTGAACTAACTTCCTCAAACCCACGCGGGAACAGCTATCCCGGGATACAAGGAAGAATCGACTCGACCATTATTCAGTGAAATTTATAATGAGGACGATAATCATCAAGCTGCAACCGAGCCTTAAGGCAAAAAGTTCGGAGGTCTTTGTGAATGGTGAGTGCGAGGAAACGAATAGAGTGCAAGAAGTGTTGAGATCCAAATAGTGGATGTGAAGATGGGTCATGTAAAAGAGAATAAATTAATGTCATCCAGTAAAAAAGTAAGGTTAAGGAATAAAGCTGCCGATGTTGATAAATCCCTGAAAGCTGCGCCATGCACTCGACTTCATCTAGCATCACGATGTCAGTGCTGCTATCCTCCCAGACAACCTTGGTACCCATTTGCCAACTCTGAAAGAATGGTATGTTTGGTAGGATCGTAGTGAGCTATAATATTAACATGCAATATGATCTGTTTTCATGGTAGCAATTTTTCCAGTACCAACCAGTAAGGGTAAAATTAATTTTCGTATAGCAAAGCTGTGTTCGGAGCACCCTGCACTTAGAATCTATCCCGGCGCCCATGGCCTCCACTAAGCCTTCCATTCCTCTGGGGTCGGCAAATTGGTACCACACCTGTCTGGGACGATAGCAGCGCTGGCTCGATACATCGGTAGGCTACCGCGAGTCATTATAGTGATGTATTCTGTCACCTCCAAACTATGCTTAATGAAGTCGAATGCATCCCTCAAGAACTGATCAACACCGTGAGCTTTATCCTTATCCTTTCATAGTAAAGTAGCGATCTAACCCACATGAACGGTCAAAAGCTAAAGACGCCTGTCTGTACGCCAAATTGACGAAGATAAGATGAACCACAGACGTAATGCTGACGTCAACCTATAGACAACAGCCGCGAGCGGCTGGATTTCCCCGGATGTCAGATACGCGGCAGGAAGACCATCAAATCGATGGTCAAATTATTCACGAAAACGCTAGAAGGTGATTCTCAGCGAGCTCCTAGAGCGAGCAGTACCCACTGGGTTACTCTAACATGACGCTAACAAATGGAAAATCTATTCACACCCGCTTGAGTCATTCGACGGCCAACGGGACGACAGGTTATTCAGGTGATAGTAAAGCAATATTTTCAATAAGGACTTCAATTCAACGTCGTTACGGATGTTTACTGGGTCATATTTGATTGGAATATATCGACAACCAACTCGTCCAAAATGCCACCGCCAGATGAGGTTAACATCATTCACATGGTGTTCGACTACAGCGGATTCGATTCAATACGACTGCAGAGACTCACATATGCCAGAGAGTAACTGCAGTCGATTTCCTTCCGAGTTCCGAGTCAAGTCATTACTGTTTTGAAGTAGGCGAATGAGCGCCGAAGCGCTAACTATAATGAGTAGTTATTCTTATAAACCTCGTCTAAGCGTGCAAAAAGTGTTGACTATTCACGCTCAGATTAAATGGAAATCGATTTTAAAAATAAAAAAATCCAAATTTTCTCAATAACTAATCACGTTGAGGTCGTTAAGGTACAAGATGGCAACCGTGTACGATTTCGTTTATCGGACGGTGAATTTCCATGTTCATATGGTTGTCAATCATACGTGGAAATTAAACACAAGCTTGATATTCGCCTAACCGGTTTTAGAAGGTAACGAGTCAATCAATCAGTCAATCAATCAATATCGCTTCGTTCTACAGTTTCGTTCTTTAGAATAATAACACAAAAAATGTAGGTTTTCACCTAATCAATGGCAAGCTCTTTAATTTAATACAACTATTAGAGAAAAATATGAACAAACCACACTACTTCCTTAAACTATGAAATCATTTTAGGAGATCTCTAACGTTTTATCGTTTTTAAGTATGAGTATTTCTGCTATTTTCATCAGTTTTACATACATCACTTATGCTGAGGATCATGCAGCGCAGTGGGTAGTGGTGTCTTGGGATACACACGTGGTCGTTACTTTGATCTCACGCTTCGTGGTCACCTCAGCCGTCCACCTCTCCGAGATCGGCAAAATAGTACCAAACTTGTTTGACAAGACAGCAGCAATGATCTGACACATCAGTAGGCTCCTCCAGGTCATTGCATAGGTTAAACATGCACTCAGTCATCTGTGCGATGCTATTAATGGAGTCGAGCGCACAAAGCACCGTCATAGATTGAACGATAACAAGCTCTTAATTTTATTTTGTCGTTTATCGATTCTCTTTTTCTGTCAGCGCTACTAAACCAGCGAATGATAAGATTATAATTGTTATCAATCGTGTGGGTTGCCTTAATCATCCCATAATTCTTCTATTAGACGTTTAAGTTACCCCACCTCCTGAGTGGTTATGGTATTTCAAAAAATAGCAATCAATCAGACAAAAAACGAGATGTTTTGAGTTTCACGAAGAACAAAATGTTCATATGACAATTTAAGATGATTTATTTGCTTTCGAATGCTAACAGGCTAGCAAGTGGGACGGCTTGATCATTACACAATAAATTCCGATAGAGTGCTTCCAATTTGATGCTTAGATAACTCGTATTCCCGCATCATATGTGTCCCAGCGCACATCGTAGCCTAGCGAGTCGAGTACCATACATAGAGGTAGTCGAGCTCATATATGGCTTCGCCTGCAACTGAAGACTCCTATCTTCTTTAATCGACGTGCTGATTGTTACTGATCGTGGTTTTGGATGGAAACCCGATCTAGCCGGGCTACAGCATTCTGAAGTCGTCACCACAATTCTTCGTCAATCTTGCCTGCATTTGTGAATCGAATGGAAATATGCTGCTTTGCGATTCAGATTCGTCCACGACAACCGCGATTCCTGTGATTCGTTGACCAACTCATAGCTCCGGGAAGTCGTAATAAGTGAAATCCGATAATTCACGTTGTCATCACTAAATCAACTCAGACAGTAGAATCGTAATTGAAATATATTCTTTCTTCATGAACATAGGATCATGAAGAATATTATGCGAAGGAAAACGATGAATTCCGTTGGAAGGTTTGCTAAGGAAGAACCCCCGGAACATGAGGTGTTAGTTTATCGGTAGGAAAGCTACGTACATCGGATTTGTCAGCATTCCTTTATGATGTATAGGGAAAAAAAATCAGAAAGATGGATTGTTAGTAATCAGTAACCAAACAGTGCGTCGAGTGTTCAGCAAACTTTGTTTTGTCCTCGTTCATTATACATGCATAATCAATCCTTCTTCAATCGTATGATTCTTTTACAACAATAAACGGTTTTCGTTTAAGAAAAAAGACTCTTCGAAAGGTAACTAGTCGAAAGTAAAGAGCTGAAAGAGTTTCCGAAATCAAGAACACTCTACTTTCCCTGTCATCGTATTAGAATATGAAGCAAAGTTTATGGAAAGTCAAATGAACAGTACTACAAGTAGTGTTGCAGTAGTACTCACAGTTCGGTCGAATTGATATGAATTTGGTTCGAGAATTTTTTTATTAGACTTCTGCGATAATGATCATATGCTGTATCCATGTCGCATCACAGACTCATCGTGAAGCTAATGATTTTCCGTCCTGTGTGTCCAATTTTGCCTAACCACACTACTGCCCTTACTAGAGGTTGTCATGGAAACACTGAACTCCTTCTTAATTTGAGTAACACTCCGTCGGAATGAGGCGTTAGCTCTTAGAATAATTCCGACGAAACGTAGAAGGATCACTGCTATTGTAAAAAGAAAAAAACAAAAAAAAAAATGAAAAACAACAAAGAAGACAACAGCAACAAAATGAGTTGTAAAAAGAAAAACAACAACGGAAAAGCAACAATCAAAACAGATTATTTAGAGAAGATCAGATAGCATTTTAAGAAAACTACCAAATCCAAGATCCCCTCACCCTTGGCCCACCAGGCTTTCCATCCCCCCGGGGGTCGGAAAATTGGTACCAGACTTCTCTGGGAGGATAGCAGCACTGGCTCGATACATCGGTAGGCCACCGTGAGTCGTTGTAAAGGCCAGATATGCATTCAGTCACCTCCAACGATGCTTAATGAAGTTGAATTCATAGCGCATTTCTTAGGGATTGAACAACGCAGAGTTTTATCTTTTATGTTTATCTATCAAATCCAACACCCACCATTCTTACTCGTCACTTAGAGACTTCTTTTCTAAAACATCTTAATTGTTAGAAAATTTCTCTTCTTGGAATCTCTTCTTATAAATGTACTATTATAAGGACTTTCTTACTTATTTAACCAAAAGCGGAATTGTGTAGAAAAATATTTACTTCCTTATCCTTCAAATCTGAAAGTTTAACACCTACTGGAATCGATAGAAAATTACTTGATTGTTACAATGTAGTTATAAAGCACAAGTCATTCAATTTTTGTTTACTTCTGCTTCTCGATAAGCCAGTAAAATAAGTAGAATCCCGTAGTCTATTGAAAGAAAGATTTTGATCAGCGCATCATTTGGCTTGATTTCTAGCCGTTAACTTCACATAGAGCGCCGTCTGCAACTATAATACTTTCGATTTCAGCTGCTGTTACCGTCCAAAAGAAGACACCGTATCGGAAAACAATCAAATCTTCGTCATCTACCATCCAAACGGACGAACAGCACGTTTTTCACTCCGTTACATACGACAGGGCTAGACGACTGCCATATACGACGAGTAGGTAGTAGTTGATTAAGTCCGGCTTGCGATTTCATTTCTGCTCAGGTGTTCCGGTTATATGCTGCCGCTCCACTTTACCCTACCAACCGCCGGCGTGAATCAAATTGCGGCTAGTCTCAGTTCATTGCATGTGTGTAATTTGTGCGTGTATTTTCTAATATGACGTTTCGTTGTGGAATGAGTAGTCCAGCTGTATTCTCTATATTTTAAACCACGCTGCCTCTCGTTTTATCCCCACATTCGCATACGGGACATTTCCTAGCACTAGGAAATCCATGCCTCCCGCCTGTATTTTAGCGAAATGACTTGTGCATAGGACATCTTTCCGCTTTTGTATGTTACAGCCCTCTTACCGAGTGAAAAGAAATAGCTTTAACTACCACAGTTGGTTCACTGATCACCTGTAGGACCATTCTTTCACTAAACACTATCCCTTCCAAGTCTACTGTACATAGATCCAGTCCGATGTTTAAATAAAACCTTTTGTATTTCTCAGTAGAAAAAACCGTAAACACTGCCTGCCACCATTCATAGTATTCAACTCCTCGCACTGAATGAGACAATGATCTCGAATGCTCTTCATTTTCCAAAACAGAAATCAAAAAGCAATGAAATATTCAGTCGTACACGTCTGGAAAAATAATCTTGAAGAAGGGAAGAATGTACAGACGTTAAAGGAAATGTGTAATGAGCCTTCTCTTGTAAAACAACCTTTTGTATGAATTTAAAGACGTAAGGATTTGAAATCATTGAAAAAAAAACTTACTTATGTCACTACTAACACATCAGGGTCAATAATGAGTAAATACAATATGTCCCTTAGAATCAGAAGGTCCTATTTGCTACTCACTACAAACAAAAGAAAACAATTAGTACTCTGTTAGTGGTTCAAGAATTCGGTCAACAAATCAACAATCTATAAAAAGAACTTCCGGAGAACAGCCGCTATTATAAACAGATCGGAATGAAATTTTCGACAACTAGGTCGACCCAACAATGAGAAGTGATAAAAAGAATTTGTCGTGGACAAACCACAGAATGGAAAAGTGTCGAAAAGGCAACTTCAGAACACATAGCAGACCGGGCGGATAAACTCTGCCTATAGACTATATAAACAACAGAACAGTAGAATGGAACGAGGAAATTAATCAACGATAGGGAAGCCAAGAATACAAAAACAACCAACCACAAACACAACAAAACAGCTAAAGGATATGGGCCGCTAAACTGTAAACGCACAAATATGGCGTGCATGCTTGGCGAAGTAACTTTCGATATGCGCTACGAGCTGTTGAAGTAATCGAATACAGAGTAGATAAACGCTACAACTATGTATACTGCCCAACTGGAGTGCAGTGTCTAAACTATCAAACTGCAGCCACCACTGGAGGAGAATGTGTGACCATTGAACGAGACCTCGCAGTAGAAACTTTCTGCACTTTTGATGGGTCCGATGCTTTTGCAAATCCAGAGTTCATTAGCTCCTTGTCCACTCGTAACGGCTAGATATAGTCTTTTTCATATAGTTAACCAATAAGCAAAACTTTGGAAATCCGAAAAAACAACAATGGAAAGCGTCCTAGACCCACTTTTCCATCCTCGCTAGGCACAGTCAACTCCACCATCGGTACCTTATCGTTAACACTGACACCAACCACGGTAGCATTGATCACTTTGCCCATGCACAGCTTTTGGAAGAATTTAAGCGCATCCTCACCCCACTGCCATGTTCCTGCAAGACATCAAGTTGAGTTCTTATAATAGGAACGAAAAATGAAAGAAGTATGTGCAGTTACTACAGTTCTAATATGATAGGCAGTTTTCATATCACAATAAAAATGGGTCTGCACAAAAAAAAACAACAATTACGTACCATCTACCGGTTGAACATGTGCTAAATAACATTCGACAGCTTGAAATGGCAATGACATTAAATCTGTTCTGAAAGCAACATTTTTTAGGCAACTTCATAAACTTTGCGTCAAAATTTCCTCAGACTAAAAAACCACGAAAATTTTTGTTTAAGAACCGACTTTTATCTGATTCTAGGTCATTAACAATCAATATCTCTTTGGATTTCTAGGCTTGTACCAAGCTGTCGGATAAATTCATATTGCGTTTAAGGTTTCTGCGTCTTTCTCGTCGTGTTCAAAACCCCAAAGGTCCGAGTCGACTCAATCGAAACATTAGTCAAGACAAAAATTACGTAACAACTACGGGTAGGTTTAAAAATCTAAGGAACCCGTAAAAGACAAAACTAAAAAGGAAACTTAAGTACCTGATCTGCCGTAGTTCACTTCTAGGTAATAGTGTGTAGCCACCATAGTCAACAAATCTTAACATCACTTCATCAGTCTCTATGTTATAATTCACGGTTACTGCCCGGAACCACGCTCCGAGCACTGGTGCAGCGCATAAGAGACCATCTGAAAATAGAATGTTGGTAGACATGAACAACTGCTACATATATATCAACAAATATTTCCTACTTTGACAAGGCTTCGGCAAATCAGGAATATCTGATGCCTGACTGTATAAACGAAGCATGTACATATCAAGATGTGATAACGAAGAAAACGACGGGTGTGTGGGTTGCTGTACGAAGAAATGTCCAGGATCTATCACCGAAGAACAAACAACTTCGCATGGTATTTCATCAGGAAGCGTTAGCTAAAATCGCAGTTTTTCACAATGACATTGCATTGACCATGAAATCAGAACAGTAAAACAATCGCCTATGAAGTTGAAAACAGCTGGGAAACATACCCAGGTAGGATGATATGTTATAGAATCAAAGAAGTGGCTAGGAATTGGAGGCGGTAAAACGGGCTGAAGATTTAATTCCGGAAATCGGGCCGGAGGGAACCGTCTGCGCAACATTTGAAGACACCGATTAATCTGTTCACGCTTTCCACGAACCTATAAAGTATGTAACAGTGGCAATGCAATGAGGCATAAAGCAGACAGGAAATAAAACCACGTACTTGGCATATTTGGTGCGTATCTACTTTCTCTGGAATATGATGCTGTCGTATTAACATTCGCACATCAGTTCTCGTACTCAATTCCTAAATTTATTAATGCCACATTACTTGTATGTTATATTTCCCCATAATGGAATTTTCGCCTAACATGAAGCCGACTCCAGAATAGGATGTTTCGAAGCAGACCAATGTCACAAACTAATGCCACTTCCTAAGATACTTAATGGCAAAGCGAAAAACCTTCCCTGGATTTTGAGGAAGCAGGGGATTTTCGCTGTCACTGTTTCATAGGAAGCGGTATTAGTTTGTGACATTGGTCCGCTTCGAAACATCCTCTTTTGGAATCGGCTTTATGTTAGACGAAAACTCTCAAATTATGGGGAAATGTAAAATATACATAACTATTACTAACAGTCGCCTTCAAAACTGTTCATTGCTCCACTAAAGTAGAGAATGAAGCCGCTCGATTGAAACATGTGCGCTGATATCATATTTTAACTGAACTGAACCTTCTTTTGTACTTCCAGACACCGTCATTTTTGCAAGCAGTGTAAGCATGAGTAGTACTAATGAAACACAGAAAGGTTAACGAAAAAGGAAAAATATTGGGAGAGTAAGGTGGGAGATCCGGATCATGAAAAATTGTTGGCAGAATGAAACATATCCCATAATTCGCCTATTCGAGATCACGGACTCTGATATCTTTTTCATTGTTTTTCCACGGTTTACTTGCATTAAATATACAAACGTACAAATCACTCAAATCTGGAAAGACACAAACCTTTATTGTTTTCCCCTTGATACCAATTACAAGTCCTACTAAAGTATTTGGAATTTCAAATTCGTACATCGGAAGAACGTCTCCAGCTTCATCCATGGGAGAAAGTGAAGACGCCAACCCTCCAGTAGCACGACCGGAATCCTGCGATGAAACCTAAATAAATGTAGCTTGGAAAAAGTGAAACTGATTAGGTAAAAGTTATTGCACAAAAGATCCAACATCCTCAATTCTAGAAAGTACCTTGGAAGAAATGTGGAAAAAGGACTTATAAACGTAAATAATAGCCTGGTCGATGACCCCAATATTAACCCACCCAGCCCCAGGCAGCGCGCATTGCGTTGCGTGAATGGCCCAACAAACTACGCGCAATTTTCCGTCGCCAGCGAACTTTTTGGTTTTTCTGATAATAAAAAAAACTCGTTCTGAATAAATAAAGGACTTTTGACACTTCGAACATGACAGCATTCGAAAACAGACTTTGCGCTATCGTAGGTATTCCGAGGTTATATGCGGAGTTTATCTCGGTGTTTTTCATATCCGCACATTGCACACCGCCATGATTAGAGTGAAATAACAGTTAATTGTTGGTTAAATTACCGGTTAATGAATTTCTTCGAAAATAAGTTTTTTATAAATCGTTGAGTGTAGAGAACGGCTCTGCCGATCATACCCCTCCCCCCCCCCCCCCCCCACCACTACGACCTGTTTTCCACTATCCTATGAACCATACATAATGCGGAACAAAAAAGCTCTGGGAAAACCTCTGCACTAAACGCCATACAAGCATTATAGTGTCCATACGGACAATGTAATACGCACTTTTCTATACGCGCAATGATGCAATCAAATGAATAACTCCATTACTAAATCCGTGAAAACTAGCACTATCCATTAATCTCAGAAAAATGGCTCTAACTCCTCTGAGCTTGACTATATAGTCACACGTTTCATTATTCCACCGAAGACCAGAGATCAACAGGATACACTTTCAGAACCCAATGTGATAACTGAGTAATCTTTAAGATAGTAACTTATGCTCAAATTAAGAAACTTCTTAGAAATAGAGAGAAAGTCGTACACAAGAAAGCGATGCATAAGCTTAAACAGGAAGACGAAACCTTTAGGATGAAACAGGAACACTAAGGTTAAGGAAACATTTATGTCCAAGACAGAAGCTGTTGCTGAGTGGGAGAAGAAACAGTAGTATTGAGATAAGGCTATTCCGATAACAAAAAGAAACCAGAAAAAGAATGAAATGTTACAATGGACATAATATGAATGAAACAGATGGATATAAAGTGTCAAATCGAAACACAGGAGATGATAGGAACAAGTTTGAAATTCCGCTTACCGCTTCACAGTTCGATGATGACGTGCTTGGAGCACAACTTGTGGATTGAGTTGACGACTCACTATTTCGTCGTACGAGGTTCTTTGATGAATTCACAACTGGAGTGATGGTAAGAGGCAGAGCCAACGGTAATGGTGACATTGGCTTAGGACCTAACTGATGACGATGATGAGGTGGTATATGATACAGAGGACGAAAATAAAATGATAGTGGCAACCACGGTGGAGAAAGTATTCCGGCGGACGATGGAAGTGGTGACGACGACGCTGAACTGCTGTGAATGGCTGCTGTCAGTGGTGGAGGAAAGGACGATGCGATCGGAGGTGGAGGAATATTGGTTGGAATAAGCGGATACGATGGCAGTAGCGGATGAATAAACATAACGCCCTGAGGGTGATCACCACTGGTGGCCAGAACTCGCAGGTAGCGGGACAAGGAGGCGACAACGAACCCGCAAGAGACGAGTGAAAGCTTGCAGAGAATGACGGCCAACTCGGGGGCGGCGCGGTCGAGTTCAGCGCGAATGCACGTGGAGGCGAGAGCGCATAGCGGAAGAGCGGCGGTGCGAGTGCAGACACGCAGACATGCCGAGCCATCTAGAGGGGGCCGACTAGCCGACAGAGCGACGGAGGGAGCGCGACCGAGTACGAGGGTCGGTCGACTCACTCCGAGTCTGTTCGGTCGCTGACCCGCCAGCGCCGCGTTTCCCCGCCGACACAATGGAGGTACGGACGGACGGCATGGACCATGGATCAATGCTGTGACGATTGGACAAGGTTCAAAAAGATGCAACAGTTGTAACGGCCAGTGGACGAAGTAAACCCAACGCTCTCTAGTCACCAACCTTTATTCACCTACACGAGAACGACGACATTCGAAGGTCGGTACCGTAGGATGATATCGGTCAAGACAAAGTGCCAAATGAGGGTGAAGACGCGCACGAAAAAAACAGCGCCACGACGACGACCAATCGATCGATCGATGATGCGGACGGCATTGCTCGCCTGTGCCTCGTAGCACGGCTGGTGACCGAGCTCAGATAGGGCATGTTGGCAATGAGCCAGCGACGGACGGCTATCGCCGTTGGCAACGTCAGAATTCGCAATGAGGGAACGGAACCGATCGCGGGACTCACCCAGTCGCCGAGCGTCACCAATACAGTCATAGATCGTATTGTACTGTTTTCGATATGCATCCACAGCTATGCGGTAGATCCGTAAACATAATAGAAAGCAAACACTTATATCTAAAACAAAGTCGAATCAAACAAAAATAGATAGAGAACTAGCTGAGAGGGAAGGCGAAAAGAAGTACATGCGTGGTGTGGTGGTGAACACGTCAGCCGCCAGAAAGAGTAATAGCGGATTCGATCCCCACCGCAAACAGCTGCGGTCAGGAGTTTTGAAAACATCTCAGCATCACTGTGGTTGAAAATCGAGTCCTTCACCCTCCCAATCACTAGAATCAGGCCGGAACTGGAGGTAACATTGTTCGTGTTTCACATTTGGGCTGTAGTGCTTCATGAACCCACAACGGTTCACCGCATCATTGTGAGTAAGGCTATCCTAGATATCAGGCTGCGACATACAGCTGGGGTTCATCCCTACAGCAGGACCTTCCAAGCTGAGACGGAGTCCGACGTTTGCATCCCGTATCGCAGCTAAGAGTAAATCAACACCAAGAATCACCACCGTCTTGGTAGCAAACTAGTTTCATTGTGACAAACCTCCCTCTGCTCCACAAAGGCGGTGACCGCCTGGGATGATGACCACCTGAGGTAGACTTCGGCTAAACTGACCTCGAGGCTCCAAAGAACCATAATAGCTAAACCAACAAATATCCGAAATGATGCTGAGACTAGCACAACCAGTAAAGACGGGGCCATCCAAGTAAGTAATGCTTCATGATCGACTCCATGACTGCTCACCATGTCGCAATGTGTGCTTCAGTTGACGTTATGTAACTGAATCTTCTGGGACTGCCCAATTTTGTGCTAGTCCATGTGCTCAAACGAAATATACCCGTCAATCGTTCGACACCATTTGCTAAGAAAACCCGAATAACATGCCACACGCACTCATTTGCACCACCATGTGTACTACAAATGCAAGTAATGCGCACGATCAACAACCCAGGAATGAAACCCTACATTTACATCGAGAGACATTCGGTGAACAACACTTTGTCACACATTTGCTCCGAGTCCACAGTGCTATGTCATTCATTCTAAATAACCACAACGGAACTAGAGGGTGAAACAAGTATACCAGCAGCAGCAAGGTCATTTCGAGCCACACCACTCGATCATCTCCGTGACAAGTGTGAATGAAACACTGAAATATTTCCGCGCACCGATTAGTATCGCTAATGCTATGGGAGAGCGCCATTCTCAGTACCTACTTAACTTACTCTCAAGCACACCTAAACATAAACGGAGTGAAAGTGGTTTAAAGTGTTACGATGGCACGTATTCTTTCATTGATTAGCTAGCACGAAGTTAATAAATAACCTTAATCGGCCAAAGCTTCGCCATCTTCGTCGTCTTCAAGAATGTTTGGAATGTTGTTCCGATAGAGGTTCATATCTTTATTTGTTAAAAACAATCACTCACTGGCAAGCGCTCATAGTGGTGACAAACTAAGGTAAGAATCGAACCGACATTTTTGCACAGACAAGCCTGTTTCTCTCTTCATTACGTCTTTAAAAATCCATAAAAAGTAGATGACAGCATCACTAAGAGTTCAGTTCCAAATGTTCCTTTCAATTGAATTAATTTTAAAAAACCATTGCCTATCCTATTCACTTTAAAACACGCCAGTAGAAACTGGAAACGAGAGTCTATCGGCATGGGCTTTAGCCTAATATCAAATCAAATACGAATTATGGAGCAAAACTCACAATCTTCATCAATTTCGCAGAACTGACCCCAATAACTGAGAGAGTTATTCGACCAGTACACCAGTCAGTATGTTGACATTTTATTTCTACGTTGTGAATTCACAGATGGGTTACGTTGTGGATTCAAAAGTGGGCAACGTTGTAGATTCACAGATGGAAAAAAGAGGCTAGCGTTAAGCTTTTGCGGTGCGAAGTTATCGGATGAAAATAGACACAGCCAGATGGTAGAAATTCAAGATAAGGCTACTCTAAAACATCGTACAAATTAACCGTGACCAAAAGACTATTGTGCTCCTTATTAATAAATGCACCGATGCATCTGTACCGTTTCGAATCGTTGAATCAACAAAGATTCAACGAACGAGTAAGAACCATGTCGAAAAAGAACCAGTATAGACACAGTTCCAACTCTTTCTTGAAATTGATGAATGACTAATTTGAACAGAAAACAATACTGTTTTCATATCCTTGGCGCAACTGTCGCAAAATGTGAACCTGACAGTTTTCTCACTGTTTGTCACTAAATAGACGCCAGTTCCCCTTCTATTAATAACAGTTAGAAGTCCTACGGATCATCTGAATCCATACGTCCAGAGAAAGCAATGAAGTCATGAGATGCTTAGACGGAGTCTACAAAAGCAATACCTCTGGTTGCCCTGACTGCAATTCGTTCAAGAATTCCAAGGTACTATGTACACAGGAGCGAAGTTCTTAGAAACTCCACAAACTGAGTTTGACAATCAAAAAGCTCATAATGTAGCGCAAACGGCAGATCAATTGTTTTTTATCTGACGCTACATCCCACGAATCTCTTTCGTCCGAGAGATCATGAGATGGTTTCTCACGAGGTATATGGTGCAACTACTTTTATTTCTCCGATAAGCACATCGACTACGGCGATGAGCTTCTTACCTGTGATGGACCAAGCTGACTCACCATCCGTATACAAGTAATCATACTAATTCACAGCTGCTCTGATTTCTTGTACGCGAACTGGACTTTGCGTACACATCAATGTCAACTACCAGGTGGTTGCAGTACATCTTCATGAAAGCACCACATCAAGCACGAAAAAGTCCAACAGACTACCCACGAAGACCTCGTAAAAGAACAAAAATAATGAGCTTTGTGCTAAAAGTACACTGTTCGGGCAGAACTCACAAAGCGGTTCTGGTGAGTGACAGCAAAGAATACAGACAACGTACTTACGCCGTTCCACTCTCATAATCGTGATTACAGGCAATACAATAAAGGTAATGTTGACCCATTCGAATCATGTCTAGGGCAGAGTATCATAA